AAGGATAAAGTTTTTAGCTCGGCTGGTAACAGGTAATCCCTATCATGCTATGCAGATGGAATTAAGGGGCAATTGAGAGGGTAATTTATATATAAATTGGGCCGAGCTAGGTAATGGGCCGTTCATTAGGCCACGGTAGGAAGGGCTGGGTAAAACGGAGCTTGGAGTTAGCCCGGTCCAAAGAACGCCTTATTATTATCCCGGTCCAAAAGAGCCTTGAAGTTGTTCTGGTCTAAAGAAGCGTGGCAATTAGCCTGGTTGCCATACTCAGAGTTAGCCCGGTCATGGCATATTATGGATAGCCCGGTCAGAACTAAGCTATTCGTTAGCTCGGTCAGGACCTTGATGTTTTGGTATCTCGGTCTAATCACGCCAGGGTTTGTGCAGGAGGAACCAGGGTAAGAGCAGTGAAAGGAAGAACCAAACTAGCTATAGTTCGGTCTACTCTGCGGCTCAACATAGCCATGCTTACCTCGGTCATATTGGAGTCCGACCATGGTAAAACCATTTCACTTGGTTTAAGCAGTGAGGAGGGTGTTGAAGGATAAGCATTATCTTTCAGGAATATGATTCCTAGGAGGACTCTACATGGAGGAGTAAGAGTCCTACTAGGATTGTGCCACGCGAAACCTATAAAAGCTCACAACATCACCCATAGAGGGGTAACACAACTTTGATCCTCAAATACACAGAGCTTTTTGTCTATTTGTCTATTGTTGACTTAGGCATCAGAGAGGTATTCGGCACACACCCGCCGGCTAGCTCACGTTTGTGTTTTCAGGGAATAAAGCGACGACGTACGGAGGAACGCAGACTTGATCAACAGGATTATACGAGAATGTTTATTTCTTTCCCGTACAGTATAGATAATATAGATATTTTCTCTAGACTGTATTTGAATCTTAGGTGTAATGAGTAATTTGCAAAGACAAAAAAAATTATAATTTATATTTACTTTACTTTACTATTCTTTATTTTATTTTTTTCCTCACAAATTTTACTATCCTGTGAGATTATTTAATTCCATTTAAGTGACTTATTTTTAGTTATTTTGGTAGAATTTGATAATTGTTTTTCTACACTTTTTAGAGTACATAAAAATTAGGGAAACTTATTTATAAGTCATTTTTCAGACACTTATGGTAGGCTAAGTCCTGTGTAATTTCTTATAGAGTCTCAAGTCCTATTTAGATAGGAATGTATTTTACAAGATCCTATATAAACGTAACGTGATGCGACATTTACATAAACGTAACGTAACATGATACCTACATAAACGTAACATAACGTAATGTAACACCTATATAAACGTAACGTAATGTATCACGTTACGTTTCACAAACTTAATGAGTTTTTATTTTTTTAAATTGAATTGAAAATATTGCTGGTTTATGTTGGTGTCACGTTACGTTTCATATAAATATGATCTATAGTAACATTCAATTTCCTATATAGGAAATTGAATGTTGCCATAGATCATAGGTGTCACGTTACGTTTATGTAGGTGTCACATTACGTTGTGTTTATGTAGATATGATCTATGGTAACATGCAATTTCCTACAATTTCCTATATAGGAAATTGCATGTTACCATAGATCATAGGTGTCAAGTTACATATAGGTGTCACGTTACGTTTATGTAGGTGTCACGTTACGTTACGTTTATATAGATATAATTTATGGTAACATTCAATTTCCTATATGTGGTTTTACTATTATTTATGATATTAACAACTAATATTGAGGGTAAATGTGTCAACAAACTTCCTACAGGACTTATGGGAACATAAGTTTTTTAGTAGGACCATATGTAGCGTAAGTCTCCCTAATAGGACTTATAAATAATTTTTCCTAAAAATTAATGTATTTAGTAATTACTAAAAAATTTATTTTTTGTTATGAAAAAAAATGTAATGAATCTCTACAACCTTTTATTTTTTGATGAGAAATTGTCATATTCACTTAATGTGATGACTCGAATTCGTTTCTAGAGGTTTGAATTATAATCGGCCAGTAATCATGAGATTATGCCTACAGCCTCAAACATAATACAAAATATTTAATATAATGGAGCCCGAAGCGGAAGCAAACATACAATAATTAAAGTCTATTGAGTAGTACGTAAATGAAAAAATAAAACACTTCTTGTTCATATTAGTGAACCCATACATAGAATATATATGCATTAGGCAAACTTTCATACATTAAGTTCAAACATCCAAAACACACTTCTACAAAAAAATAAAAATAAAAATAAAGACTTAACAAAGAAAATACAAAAGCCCCATCTTAGAAGCATAACATCACAGCGTCACAAAAGGTAAAGTCTTCAAGCTGATTCTATGATTGATCACCTACATACATATATATATATAGAGAGAGAGAGAGAGGGGTTATTGAATGAGTCTGAATTTTTAGAAAAACAACTTATCATAGTTAAAATATCTTTCAGAGATAAATCATCTAATAGCATTGATCATATCTCAACTTGACGGAACGACATCGAGTCCAATATAAAACAAAACGACCTCAAGTCCAAGTTATAACAAAACGACCTCTGCTCCAATTAATACAGAACGACCTCTAATCCAACATATATAACAGCTATTCAAAATGACCTCATGTCCAATCATATTATAGATAAAACAGAACGATATCAAGTCCATCATACCATTCATAAAGAATTCTTTGAAGGTTGCCACAAAAATCAACAAATAGAAAACTCATTCATTTGGAGCAAAACATAATTTCAAGAAAAACAGAACATTTCATGATGTTTCAAAATAATATTTAGAACATATCTTTACAAAATTATTACTCACATCAAATTTGATTCTGTGAAGTCCCCTCGAGCAAACGACCTACATAACACATTCTTACGAATTCAATAAAACAAAAACATTCATCCACTTATACTTTTCTTTAATTATTCAAATGGGTTTCTAAGTGTCTTTTAATTTCTTGGTGGGTCAAATAGAGTACAAAACAATGTTCGAAAGGTCAAAAAGATCAACAGAAAGTCAAACTTCACTCTCCAATTTTCCGCACGTGCAGAAAACATGGGAGTAAAGTTGTTCATTAAGTTGAAATATGATCAATGTTATCGGATGATTTATTTCTGAAAGATAATTTACCCATGATAAGTTGTTTTTCTAAAAATTCGGACTCATTCAATAACTCATTTATTTTATTATTACTCATTAGTTCACCCCCTTCCACTACCTGGATATAGGATCAACATGGAGATCAATTGTAGAGTCAACTTGAGGAGTTACCTTTTGTGAACCTGTGATGTTATGCCTCTGAGATTGGGCTTTTGTATTTTCTATGTTATCTTTGTTTTTGTGTAAAAGTGTTTTTTAGATGTTTGAACTTAATGTATGAAAGTTTACTTAATGTATATATATTCTATGTATGGGTTCACTAATATGAACAACCAGTGTTTTATCTTTTCATTTACGCTCTGCTCAATGAGTTTTAGCCTCCGTTTGAGAATTAGGTTAGTTTTTTGGCTTTTTTAGCTTTTTTAGCTATTTTAGTCTGGGCTTAAAAGCTTAGTTTGGGAAGGATTTTTTGGTTTTTTGGCTTTTTTGAATTTTTTTGTAAGAGAAGAATGTAATGATTATGGGTTGGATGTAATATTTCGTTTGTTATGGCTAAAATAGCCTATTTTATTTTTTGTGACTAAAATAGCCAAAAAAGTCTGTAAACCCACTTGCCAAACACAGGCTTAATTACTGTCTTACTTCTTTTACTTTGGGCTCCATTATAAATATTTTGTATTCTATTTGAAAATGTGGATAATCTTATGATTATTGGCCAATTATAATTTAAAATTTTAGAGGCAGGTTCGGGTTATGACACTTATAGTGTGATAGAGTTCTTACTAACATAACTAAAGAGAAATAGTAAAATTTATCAAAATATAGAATATAAAATCATTTTTTAGCGATTTGTTAATATTTTCAAATAATAATAATAATAGAACAAAAAAATAATTAATTTAATAGAGAAATTTATTATTTAGCCAAATCAAACAAGCTATTTGATTTTGATTTTTTTAACAAAAAAAAAATAATAAATATTGATATCTTTCAAAAAAATTTTAAAAAATACAATAAGCCCTATAATTTTGAAATAATTACACTGACATTCCTTTTAATAAGTTTAAGATACTGAACATAATGCAAATGTGTAAAGACAAAAAGATATGTAAAGCAAAATATATATTTTAATATAAAAAAATGACTATTTTTTTTTCCTCATTCACACTATTAATAATTTCTAAAGAAAAATAGGCTAAGGTTTTTGTGAATTAAAATCTCAAAGAAACTCAATGTAATTAATGTCAAACTTATGGGACTTAGTCAGTGCAATTTATTCACAAAAAAAGATAATTTATATTTTGCCCTTTTTATATTTAGTCATTTTCTCTTTTTGATATTTAAAATTTATTTTTCTCACTTTAACCTCTAATGTTTTAAGTTTTTTTCAATTTATTATTACAGTTAATTTTATGTTTAAAATTAGACCAAAAAAATGTCACACTAACTACTAAATAGCAAAATATATTATTATTTTGAAGTTTAGGTTTATGTCAGATATATTTGTTATATATAATAAAATATTTTTCTATCACGTGATTGTATATTTTCTATTTAATTTTGAATAAAAATTAGTTTGTGTAAAAAAGAAAAACTTGAAAGGGTAAAAAAAAAAAAAAAAAAACTTTAAAAGTCAAAAGTGAAAATTTTAATGAAATATAGTAGGGACAAACTATAACTTATCCTTGGTCAAAAAAAAGAAAAAAAAGAAGTTGTAATTTATCTCAAAAAGGGTAAAAAAAAAAAAAATTACTCCTGTTTTACAAATTGCCAAAGAGAGCGGATGACACCATATAGGCAATAATCCGCTCCCACCCGACCCGAGTCGTAAACCCGTTAATCCCTGCAACGCTCTCTCGAGTCCCGACTCAGTTGCTGACTCGCCCGTCTCTCTGAACGACCAACAACAACAATGAACAACAGACCCTCTTTTCTCTCTCTCTCTCTCTGCACAGACAGAGACAGACAGACACGCCTTTCGTCTTCTCTCTCTATCTCTCTCTCTCATCTGCCCTTTTTCGTCTTTTTCAACTCACCCACTCCCAAATCAGACGGCTCACGCCTTTCCACGTCTCCGTCGTCTTCTTCGTTACCCTGCTACCTCCCACATATATAAACCGCCTCCTCTGCTCTCTCTCTCTTCTCTCTCTCTCTCTCTCTAGGGTTTCCAGAGATTCGTAACAACCAGGCGACGCCTCTCTTTCTCTTCACACAATGATTTCTCTCTCCTCCTTCTCTACCACCACTGCTCGATCGTCATCTCTCTCCTCGAATTCCGAGCCTCACCTGTGATTTTTCCGATTTAAGGTATTCTTCGATCCAATTTCAGTCTTTTTTATGTATGTATGTTATTGAATGTTCTTAAAGTTGATTATTTTATTTTTCCAAAATGAATTGAATTGTTGGAATGGATGTGTATTGAGAGGTTCTTTCCTTGATCGTGTTGCTTTTTCTAGGGTTTTCATTGGTTGTTACTTCGATACGGGTTGGGGGATATTTGAAATTCGGTGTCTGGGATTGGGAGTTACTGTTTTGTGTGTTTGGTTTGTGGTTATGTTGAATGGCGATTGAAAAGACTAGCTTTAAGGTTTCGAGGCTTGATTTGGAGTTTTCGTCGCGGAGTAGGGAGAGTATGTCGAGTGAGGACGATGAGCTTCAGAGGCGGGGTTCGGCAGTCGAATCGGATGATGACGACGAGTTCAATGACTGTGACTCCGGGGTGGGATCCGATGACTTCGATTTGCTGG